ATTACATTTAGCTAATGAAATATATAAATCAATCTCAATTCTATAAAAGTGTACTCAACCAGAGCGTTTATATGATCTCTGCCTGTACTTACATTTCCCAATAATACAGGTCAAGATTCGAAATGATTTTGACCCAGTTCTCTCTCCCGAGAGCTCTTTGTTTGTTTTGAAGAGCAATAAACAGGTAACTATTATATATAACACATTCTAAGTTTCCATACATCTTGCTTCTTTAATTTAAAGAAACACTCACGACTTGTGATGGGGTTGATAAGGTTGCGTATCAGGATATTCTCAGCATCCTTGATTCGACGAAATTCTGCAGCTCCGTTCAGAATTTTATCGATATATATTTCAGGCTATCTGGGCTTCCTGCTAATGGGCAGTTGTCAGATAGTGACTGCATACGCGTTAGAATCTGCGAGGGCAGGTTTGCGGTGCTTATACGTGAGGTATGTCTTTTATCTGTAATCTGCGAGGGCATAACACTTTTTATCAGTGTTCCTTTTTTAGTGTTTCATGAATTCATTGACTGCGTCACAGCCAATTAGGGAAGGGAACTTCATCATTCAGCCTAAAGTAGATTTCGACATTAGCGTAAGTACTGTGGCTGGTCTTCTTAATCTCGGGTAAGCAAGAAATCAAATTAGTTTTTCCTCATTCGTCATCCTCGATAATTTTCTGCTCTCTTTTCCCGAACCTCAAGTTTTCATTAGTAAACAACTTTTAATCAGAGACATTTTTATCACAGTTTCATGTGAATGATGTATATGCATATTCTGTATTTTTGATTTCAGGTATCAAGCAGTGGCGTATATTGAAGCGTCTGCCTTTATATACCAAGACGGAAAGGTAAGAAGAATATTGTTTCGAAAATGCGAAATAAGCTTCTAGAGATCAAAAACCCAACATTTCTTATGATGGATATGGTTCATCTAAATCTCCCTCTTAATTTTGGTTTTTGAAGATTTTGATTGAGGTTGATCATCTCCAAGACGTGCCAAGTCCTTACATACAGATCAAAGGCGCAAACAAAGAAGCTGTGACAGCCGCTGGTTCAGCACTCAAACTGGATGGTTCATACACAACAAAGGTTCCACTTCCTTTTCAAAACCTGGCGTATTTCTTTCTTCATCTTCATCTACATATTATTATACATAGTTAATCTGTATTCCGTTCTTTTGTTTTCTTGAATGTAGAGTTACCTTCAAATAGTGTTGGAAAGATTACCACCAGTCCAGAGAAGTTCAAGTGGAATCCATACACAACAAGCAGCACGGTTGCAAGAACTTGTGGAATTCATACAATCTCAGGTAATCCAAAAGCCCCTCTTCCATCCTCGGATTGCCTCGTTCTAGTTTCGTTGTCTCTAAAAATGGTTCTCATTGCCTCGTGACGGTTTCACTACAAAAAAAAAAGGGAAGCAGCAACAGTGTGTCAGAAGCATCACCTAGAAGAGATGGTTCGTCGATAGACAACGTCTTGGAAGATATGCAGTCAAGGATCAAACGACTCGAACGCTGGCACACCATCAATACGGTATCATATCAAACATCTTAGCATTTGTTTTATATATTTATGATCAGAAGATCTAAATGATGGGTGGAAACAGGTACTATGGACATTTTTGATGTCTGCGCTCGTTGGTTACTCTCTCTACCAAAGGAAGCGCCATTAATTAGAAAATCTTTTCTCTGGTAACAACAATCCTCTTCTCTTTTTTAACCAAATAATGTAATGAATCACAGAAAAAAGGTTAAATGCTAACCTGTGGGAATTTCAAAATATATATATTAATATATATACACGAAA